GTAAAACTCAAAGTCGCTTGCTGTTTTTACAGTTTTTAGTATCTTTCAGATTCCATTCTTGAGTACCATATGTTCGTTCAACTTAATACTACTGTTTTCCTCCTTCACAACTAATATCTCACATGTTTTCCCCTTCATATAATCTCGCAGTCCACTTTTTAGTCTACTGAGTAACATGCACAATAGTAGAATTCCATTCAGTTCTGACAGCAACTAGGAAAACTAGTAGAGGTTTTAATTCCGAGGTTATTCAATGTGAATATCTCAAGCAGGACGACACGACCCCCTTAGATTCTTACTCCTAGTAGAACAAGTATGCAAAAAAGAATTAGGAGAAAAAGGCGTCCTAAAACTCAAATGTCACAGCCTGGAACAATGGTAATTGTACCGCTTGCTTGTTATCAGATTCAACTAGTGACTCTGTATTTGGGCGTAGCTTGTGCACTGAACGTGCTCTCCGCCGCCGTAGCACTGACAGAGTGCAATGGGTTGATGCTAAGCCATCCGACCGTATACTGAATTCGTCCAGCAAAACATTTATCATAACGGCCACAAAGGTGGCCGTAACCCGAGCTAATATACCAGTTATTGTAAACTTTCCAGTATCTGTTAACAGAATGGAACAGTAGGTAAGCGGGAGAAAAGAAAATGTCAACACCACAGCTCCAAATGAACTACAAATCACGGACAGAGTTATCAGACGAAATTCATTAATTCTATTTAATGTTCCGGTATCCGAGAAAAGCTTACTAGAATGTAGGTATATCTTTGATAACGAACAATAGGGTAGATACTGAGCAATGCTTGCAGTGAGCAGTACTCCGGCCAAACTATGCCATCTGTCCCAGAGCCGAAACGCATTTGAAGACAAATCCACTTTATCAAAAGTAACTGTGGACTCATCTCACCATGCCGAAGATATCCTTCAATTATCTCACGAACCTATAGTATAACTTCCCTCCCCTTAATCCTAATGAGGCGCTGAAAGCCGTTGCCGAAGCATCGATAAGTACCCAATAACAAACCACTATAAAGGTTCACCGAGTGCCTGAGCTGCTTAGTGGTAGCTCGGATGTAGCTCACGTGCATAATTCGTAACAATGGTGGTAGCTAACACTCAGTAAGTCAGGTCTCCTCATTTGATAGCTGTGAACTTTAGAATGTGGGGAGACCTAAGTAAGGCGCTTCAGGCTCGGTAGAGCCCAAAAGTCACTGAGACAACAACAGGAGGGCGAAAAGAAGCATATTCTTATATCAGTTGACCTTCATCAACAACCCACGATACAAGAAGCTGAGATTATAGTCTAGCCGACTGAACGCACTACATAAGCAAAATACCTGGAGAGGCAACTTCCCACTGAACTAGCCAACCCAGTCAGATTAACGTGTTTGAAAATTCGAGGATAGATGCCTGTGTAGAGGTGCAGAGGTGATAATACAAACCATCAAGTACCTCTACGACAAAGTAAGAGGACAGAAATCTAAGTTAGAAGAGATCAGAAATATTTGCCCTCAGGTAAATCTGAAGATCTTGACTGAAACACAGCTGTCCTCCGAAATTGCAGATAGCTACGTTAACTTGCAGGGCATGAAACTCTTGTGATGCGATGAGGTACAGAAAACAGAAGGTGGAGCAGCGACCTAAATATTAACAGCTGTTTCAAAGCCGTAACACTGTAGAAACCGACTAACCAATGCAACAGAATGGTGCTGCTTGAATACAAATGGAAAAAAAGCTTAGTTGAAAGGATTTACCAGACATCCTCTCGTGTACTAAAGCCAATAAAGATAAATTAATTCAGGTGACATTGTATGTACCATACCCGGGGTTTGACCAAACATTAATCGCCGGCGACTTCAATACACTGTCTTTAAATCTTAGAAAGTAGGGTAAAGCTCCTATAGAGTAGTTCCAAAGGTAGCTTGTTTCGGTCATCAGAAGTTTGGAAGTGACTGGAAATGTGTGTGAAGTCACAGAAACTTGAATTATTTTTCAGTAAATGATCAGCTATTAGTCCATGATGTCCATGTACACATTTTAATAGGTAGTAGGGAATCCGGTGCAGTTATATTTAACATGGCCACAAATGAAACACTTTTGGGTGATAAAAACGCTGCCTTCACAGCCATGAGATAGCATCTCCCACTTGCGTCATGACCACGATAGTAAGGGGGCTGTCAGTGGATAGTAGCTGAGGAACCGTCAGATGCATTATCCAGAATGCTGTCCCATGCAACGTACCTTAAGGTATTCAAACACGTGAAAACAGATCATGGGTTAAGTGAAGCGTTGAACGTCTGCTACAGGTGTACAGGAGAGCCTAGAAGAGGTGGAAAGTTCTCCCGAAAGATTCCGACCATAGTTCTTTATTGGCATTGGGAAAGAGATGCAACACCAGATTTCGAAGAGAAAGAAGACGCTTCCAAGCGAAGCTAGAAGCCGGAATACAGGCGGACTGAAAATATCTATTCAGGTCTATGACAGAACGAAAACAGTTGAACGAAGATATTCGTGCTCTCAAAGGTTCAAGTGGCGAAGATCTTACCAATTTAGTGATGAATCAGGTCTTTAATACCAACTTCTCCGACCGGTTAAACCAGGTGCCCATAAGCTCGGAGCACTACACAACTTCAGGAGCAGCCGGTGGCCTGGGGAATATCCAACCTAGTACCTACTTAACGGTAATAAGCCAACATATCCTCACCCAAAGAAGTCACCAGGACGTGGCAGTATTTTTCCTGTAATCTTGAAGTATCCTTTAGTTCATCGGTATGTAATATCTACAGATATTCACTAGCTTTACACCAACTTCCAGCCAAATACGAACAAGCTGCTCTCTCGAATCTTTTAAGGAGCAGATAGAAAAGATCCAGCCAGTTACAGATAAGTCACATTACTACCAGTACTATGGAACATTATGGAAGGACTGGAGAATCAGAAAACGAGGGATAAACATCACATCCTCCATGAAGCCCGACACAATAGGGAAAAACAGGTCCTCTATACGGAATTTTCCCATGGTATGTGACAGGTGGACAACATTCCGGAAAAAATACCAGTTCATGTAACATCCACTGACCTCGCAAGACCCTTCGACGCAGTATCCCGCGTAATCCCAATAGTGAATTATTCGGAAATAGACTCTACTGATCCACTTCTATCTTGACTCAGAAACTACCTTTAGAACAGTATGTTTCGTACCAAATTAAATAAAGTTCATGTGAGCTGGCAAGTATCAATATCACAAGACTCTTGGGAAACTATCTTATGTTCACTCCTCTTCCTTCTATTCACTGATGACTTGTTAAATAAAGTCAGCTCAGCGGTAGATGTTGCTAACTAACAGAGGTTATAAATGAAAGCCCACTCCTAAATTTCTCCTCAGAGTGCGACTTCGGTCCTATAAACACATAAACCATAGATATCAGTTCAAGCTACATAGGGAAAGCATCCAAGGCAAATGTGACTCTTCACTTAATGGGAAGACAACTTAGTACAATGACTTTAAAATTATTCCTAACTCTCGTTAAAACATACTCATGGTCATACTTTGGAGCTCACGATGTTATTGCACCCCACTCCTTAAAACAGACATAACCTACCTGAATTGAGCGTAGAAACGACTACCAGAGCGGAACGGCAGTCCAGTGCTTTCGGGTTTCTAATGGTGGCCTGACAATGACTGATTGATGATTTCAGTGTGTAAAAACAATAATCTCCATAACTCTAATTGGAAAAATAACTTATTTCGTTATTGATATGAATTTTTTGAAAATTTTCTCTTTTCATTACTTCTGGGATTTCCTCCCTATTATTCTCCACACTCCAAATAACTGATCTCCGACCTGATAATGTGATAGCCGCTCGTATCCAGAAACCTTACAGTTCTGAGACAAAAGCACTCCCTTAAATCATGGGACATAAATTCTTAAATAACTGCCAACTGACTTGAACTAATGTAGTCTAGTAGCTGTACTTCTATCGATTGAATATTACTAAATGCCTGAAATCGTACAGAAAGTACAAGAATCCAGCACAGACAAACCAATCGGTTACACTATCTCCTGAAATCATATTGGGTATTAAATATGTTTATGCTGACCACCGTATAAGATATTTAAAGCTAAACCAGCCGAAGTATCATGTCATGTACATTCTGCCTCACACGACGCAAACGATCTGCACCCTTAATGGAAGTTCGCTCCCTAATGTCTCCTCAGAGCGCGGTCTCTGTTTAATAACTACTGAAAGCCTCCACACGAATTTGAACTATGTAGGGGACGCAGGAGAACCAGAGTTGATCTGATTATGGCGTACAACACATTAAGCACACCAAACTATCCGAACGTGAGCATCTTACCGATGCATCACCACCACTCGCGCTGAGGCAATCCTCGAAAGATTGCACATCAAGGAGCAAATACTCAGGTTCGTGCACACTTTTTCTCATTGCGAGTAGTCTGAAATTGAAATGCTCTTCTAGCCGAGGTGACCACAGCCCTATCAGTGGACAGCTTTAAGAAGAGACTTGATAATCACGTACTCACATACGGATTATCATCTCCCTCTTAGACAAGCTGTGCCTGATGCCTGTCTTGCGACCTGCTAGTTGTTTTCATTGCTATCTCCTCAGATAACTTACTTAATCTATCTCGCCTATTTTTTTCTGTTTCCTTTCCCTTGCTTACACTTCGGTCCTCTCTCACAATCTTCACTACCAATTAATAAACTAAATCATCTATACATTACTTAGTTCTCAAATTTTATTCATATTACCATTAGAATTTCATCATTATTATTCTCCACGTTGCAACTAACTGATCTCCGGTCTGGTAATGTGACGGCTGCTAGTATCCAGCAACCTTACTGCCCTGAAACAAACGTTTCATTCAAATCCCGAGACGTACAAACTCACAACCAACTGCCAACTGACTAGAATTAGACAGTCGAGTGGCTAGACCTCCATCCATTGGACATTACCGAACACCTGGAACCGTACCGAAAGAACAAGAATCGAGCGCGAAGAAATCACATCGGTTTACCCTAGCTCGTGAAAAAGATATTGGATATTGGATTTTGACCTTCGTGATAGGTTCGAAGTCGTTTGGCATTCTGGTAAAGGTTTAGATCATGTACTGTAAGACTATGCGCCCGCTGGGCCGTTCTGCCTACAGAAATGGTAACGTAGTTGGCACGGGAATAATACGATCTAAGGGAATGGTTATACTGGCTGGTAACTCGCACCCTGAGTTAGTCAAAGCTGTTTGTAACCATCTTGACGTTCGTCCTGGAAACTGTTCGGTATTTTTTCGATCAAGTCGCGAGACGAACGTTGAGATTAAAGAAACTGTCCGGGGTAATACTTGGTTCTTATCGTTTCTTATACTTAGGTCGGGATGTTTATATCATTCAGTCGGGAACTAAGGATGTTAACAACGACATTATGGAGCTATTGATTATTGCTTACGCATGCAGATCAGCTTGTGCTCGTAAAGTCATTGCGGTGGTACCTTACCTACCCTACTCAACCCAAAGTAAACGGAGGAAGCGTGGTCCTATCACCAGCAAACTTGTAGCCAAAATGCTCTGTTCTTCAGGAATTAACCATTTGATCACTTTGGACCTTCATTCAAAAGAGATTCAGGTAATGGCTGGACTATTTCTTGGTTTCAAAAGTTTAAAAATGAAATGTCTGCAGCTATGGTGTTGATGCTATCATATACTGTAATGGTTTACTAGGTGTTCTGTAGATAGATGGATAGTCTTCCATCGATCATGATCGACTAGATTATTAGTACACAATTACGCTGTATTTTATCTGTGACATAACTCTATTGTTTAGATAATAAGGTTTCTAGTTACCATATCTGTTTCAATAAAGTACCCAAAAATAATTAATATGGACGTATAGCAATCACAGTGGTACAAACACTAATATTTAAGCTTTTTTTTATATTAACACGGTTATTTTAGAAGTTTTACTATTATAGTATGAAAATCATCCGTGTCAGAAACGTGACATCGCAGGTTATCGTTTCTTGACGTATAAGTAACAAGTTTACTCAAAGCTTCGTCTTGTTCCCTGCAGTATTAGTTACTATATTCTGAGCTGCATATCAGCTTCATCAAACAACCAAAATAGTCGAAGTTCCGTTGGCATTTATGGATGGCACATCTAATTTTAGATTAAAAAACTGAACTTAAAGTTTACTGACAACTAATTTCCTTCTTTAATTTTGACTGTGGTTGGTATGCAGAAATGTGTTTGTAATAAATGAATTAGGACAGCATTCCAATGATTTTTTTGTTCAATATGAATTTACACTCAACGAATTTGTGGATTTGCGTGGTGCCACATAGCTATTTCGTAGTTATATTCACTACAGTTAAATTCTAATTATTCATAATGTTACCACTTATTTGTTTATTGTCTTCAGGGTTTTTTCGATGTTCCGGTTGACAATTTGCGGGCTTCTCCGTTTTTGACGAAGTATATTGAAACATACATAACTGATTATCGAAACGCAGTCATTGTTGCTCGAAATCCCGGGGTAGTGCCTCGAGCTACCAGTTATGCCGAACGTTTGAGGCTACCGCTAGTTGTTATTCATGGAGAAGAACGAGATGAAATTTACAATAGTGACGGTCGTAATTCTCCACCTTTGGACCAAAGTGCTACAGAAAAAAGGTCTGTGATGCAAGTATTTGCGGCATTTAAAAATGTATGACTATGCCGAAATATCCAGAAAACCTATTAATTGCTGGTCCTTTATATGAATTATGACCCATTGTTTCTATAAAATGAACATTAAAGTAGACACTAGTGTTAAGTAAATAAGGTGGAAAACTAAAGATAAATAAGCTTAATGTTTAGAATTAAGCGAATTCAAGTAATTTCAAAGCCTTAACGTGTTTTGATTAATAACATTGAACTTTCTTACTTTGTTTCATATAAGCGCATAATTATTGGCACAAACGCTCATTGAAATATTTGTGCCCCACACAAGTAATTGAATTTATGAATAGGCTGGGATATTGCCGTAATTTCGAAACTGAAGCGGGTGGATTTCCTAGGGGGCTCTATCTTTTACCGAGCCGTTGACCAAGACATCTAATCCAAAAGGCAGTGGGGCAGCACTAGGAGATGTAGTCTTACAGGAGCCGGTGACCAACGACAGATTAATACTCCATTTGTTCATTTAGGATCCTAGAGCCCATGCGCACCATTCGCTTAGAATCATGGTTTCGCAACTACGTACTTATCAACCAAGTTTAAGCTCCAGACATTCACTCTTCGTCCTCACCTTAAGATAGAGCCAAAAAATGAGTTTCACCAAGGCACAAATTTTCCAAAACTAATCTTTTCATCAAAATATTCGCCCAGTATAACTTACTAGATCTACAATCGAAGCAACAAACTCTTGCACCGCTTATTAAAAGTATTATCAGCTACTGTCTAAATTTTTTTTATGTAAATAATTCCGTTGAAAATTACATGATCAACTAGCCAGTCCATGGCGTGAACCTAGCTGCAGTTCAAGTTCTGCTTCAATGTTAACTATCCTTACAGACTATTTTTGTCTAGTCTCTAACCTTGTTTGATAAAAATCTCAAATTAAGTAGTTGTAGATAGTTTTGAGTTCTTGCTTTTAATTTCTAGATTTCATAAAATATACAGATTGTAGCATTTAACACGAGCTTCATACATATTTGGTAAGAAGTTATGCTCAGGAACTTATCTGGGTTGGTCCACGGCTTTAAGGAAAAGAAATCGAGTGGTTAAATCTGCTAACGATTGACTTTCAGGAGTTTTATCATCCATAATGGAACTGTTAGTCTGCAAGTTGTATAAGTGAATCGATAATTGACTTAGCATTGATTGGCTGCAGTTCTGGTGTGTTGGTTAAATGATTGTTGTGCGTTGAATATGCCGCTCATTGATGATCTGTATCCTATCCTACGGTTGTAAGACCTGATAAAACTAAATGTATCAAATTCAGTGGTTGAATGTTTCCAAAAGTAATAACCATGGCTCTAAATAAGTATGGCGTAGATTTGGTGTTACCAAAATGTACATCTAAGCTTGAGGTTTCTTTCCTCAATTATTATATCACAAACCGAAGTGCTGTCTAGTCTTTATTTGTATCACAAAGATGGTTATCATATTATGGTATCACAAGATCTGTTTCACAAAACGAAGTGGCTGTAAAGGGGCGAAAGAACGGAATCACACAATAATTCGAATACATAAAGTAAAAAATATATTTCACATTAAACACATTGGACAAACGCTTATTAGGTTTTAAATTTATATTGTTTTTCACTATCTTACGTAGATCTACACAAGTCGGCATTGAACTTTTACCTATGATGATACCTAAGGCTAAACCACCTTTAACCGTAGTTGGTGATGTGAATTCAAGAATCGCTATCATAATTGACGACATTATAGATGATGTATCATCGTTTGTTACTGCAGCTGAACTTCTCCGTGAACGCGGTGCTTACAAAGTGAGTTTTTATTTCAGTGTAGTAATTAATGTACGTTGAACACAAAAGCCTTACAGTTATTCCGGTTATTAATTGTGCTCGCTAAACGTAATTTCACAAACAGATTTTATAGAATTTTCAATTAATTATATGTGCCCTTTTTATAAAATGGCTGGTACAATGTGTTAGTCTTGTGAATGTCCTTAATTTCATTCACAAAAAAATTTAAACGCCAGCAAACTTTGATATCCATCACAGTGTATATTTCCTTGTTAGCTTGTGCTGTAAAAAAGCGAGTTTTCGAGACGTTAGTACTTTCAGTAATATTCGGACTATTATTATGTTTATTAAATGACTAGGCTACTGTGTTTGTGTCATCTCTTTTCTATGGGCTTTCTACAAGCCCGCCTATTTTTATGCGTTTTGTTATTCCTTAATTACTGCTGATTAATCCTGTATCATCATCCCATTCTTTGACTTTGACAGAATGATTATGTGTAAACAATGATTTTTTTAAAACATGAAGTTCAACGAAGCGATCTCTCTTTGACAAACTTATTATCATATTATATGAAATTGTTTAATTATTAATTCTGTAAGGATAAATGAACAATGAATAAACGTAATGGTAATGTGATAGAAAGATTGATACTAGATTATGTAGTGTAAATAATAATCATGATAAAATACTATATGTACTTTGTTCATATATCCTCACGGAATAAATACTTAAATCATTTCAAATATATATATCCTTTCTCTGAACTTCGATTTTTAGTGTTCAAGTGGACTTTTATGTCTAATGATTTCTCGATTGAGATGCTTTTCGATGTGATGATTCATGTTTATGAATTAATGAGTGTTTAATTTAAATATACTAGTTACCTGAAACATATATAAGCTTGTCTGCTGATTTTTTTTTATCGGACTCAAGACAGGTGCTTATTAGCAGACCTATATGAGTTAAAATTTTCTCGGCCTCAACTCATGCCAGTGAAAGTGTTTCGCTGGTCAAAGCTTAGGATACTAAATGGGAGCGAAACAGTACATGCAAGTTAGAAAAATTAACCAGGTTCCTGATTAGCAAATTTCCTGTATATGTCGATTAACTTATCACTCGTAAGAAGTGTGTTCATTGAATTTTTATTATGATAAAGATGTATAGCTATCTTCTTGACTACTCTCAATCAAATTATCACCCTTTTTATCTAAAACATATCATTACTAGATTACTACTTAGCTAAACGATGATTCGCTAGATGTTTTATTTTGTTGCGTTTAAGTTCCAACTTCGGATGTTCATTAGTTAGATTAATTAGTCAGTCAGAATAATCGTAAAGATTGAAAAAAAAATTGCGTCAGACCAAATCACTATACTACGTTATCACGACGCCGTAGACTAAACAAGATAAGTATCAACGGAGTAGTTGCGATGTCAGTGAGGATTACTAACCACTAAGAATATGATTCAAAGACAATTGAAAGATACTTATGAGAGAGCGCTAGACTTCTGTATCTAAAGTAAGACAAAAAGCAAACGCATTTGCATTGTTGTGGTCGATTCTGAGCCACGTCACTCAACGTTTCAAATCATTAGTCACAGTTATCGCACAGACCCCAATCAGGTAGTTTACTCTTAACAGTCTAACTTAGCTTAACAGTTACTGATTCCTATCTTTTTCTCATTTAGTAATGTACCTGGAGGTAGGTGACGTTTATGCATGATCCAACTCTCTCGGTTTATAATGATTCACAACCTTGTCAACCAATTTCCCCTCTGTTTAGTACTCTATGTTTAGCCTCAGTATTTCTTACTCACTCTTACCATGATACTCAAGCAGTATTCAAGAGACATTTGTGACAAAAAATCTGCAGCATATACGTATCTTCTTTCATGGGCTGTACTTTTTGACCATCGAGTAACACAAGGCGGACTTTTGCATAGTATATTCAAGTGCTGAATTTCATAGTAATGATCCGAAAACAAGTTAGTAAATATTGTGACATAATGATTAGGCTGTACTCATTTTTGATTTGTCACTTTTTTAATAGGTCAGTTTATAGAGTTGTTAACATTTATCATCAGTTGAAAACTGGATTAAAGAACTACCTTGTACATTCAGTCAATAAAATTACAAAGATAACTTGATAACTTAAACTAATAAACTTACATACTACGCCCTATCTTGTTTTTCTAACTTTATACATTTAAACTGAGGAATGTTAATTTTGTAATATTACCTCATTGTTATTTGTAGATATTTGTTTTTGCAACTCATGGTCTACTCAGTTTGGATGCACCACGTCTGTTGGAAGAAAGTTGTATAGATGAAGTTGTTGTAACAAATACAGTGCCACATGAAGTACAAAAAATGCAATGCCATAAAATTCGTACCGTTGACATAAGTATATTATTAGCAGAAGCTATCCGACGTATTTACAATGATGAATCTATGTCGTATCTATTTATGAATGTACCGAAAGATGATTAATTCATTGATTTCTTTTTCTTTTTCTCACAATTACCGTTGTTAGAAAAGAGACAGCACCAAACTATTTATGATTAGTTAAGTAAAAATTGTTCTACATTGTCTAAATTATCAATTTGATGCTCTAGTTTATTAACTTGCTACTATTGTGTGTATAATCAATTATTCTTTTTTCTACCATTATAATTAAATATTTCTGTACTCGGCTAGATTTTTGTTCATCTCGCTTAAAAATTGTACATATTTACCAAATATCACAGTGAATACTAGTGATTTCGCTCAACACTAAAACTTTACGGGTTATAATTTTTTTTTTCGTTACTGTTGTTTTCTTTCACAAAAGCTTTTATCTTTTAATCAACACTAACTTAACAGTTCGCTTTCATTTGTCTAATGAATGAAGTTTAAGTTGTGATCATTGTATGTTTCCTTTATAATATTTTATGTGCAGCAATAACATTAACTGACATATTAACAGATTGTGGCGGTGGAAATTCGATAGCTTCCTAAATTTCGTTTACTGGTCGTCCTGGCGACCGTTACTACAGAACGCTAGTCATTGCTACAATTTCTTTATTATTCAAAATATATAATGATTTATACAATTATCGAATTTACTACAAATATAAAATAGTCGATATTGTTATCGAATTATTTAAACAGTTAATCAATAGGGCTAGGCGGTAAGCAATGCCCAGGCATACATGCGCATACAAGCTCAACAATGATAAAAGTACAAAATGTATTTGAAGTACTACAATAGCTCCCCCCTCAGTAAACACAGATACAAAAGTGTCTGTGTTTGCGAAAATATATATTAAATGTAATAGGATGGAGCAAGTCGAAATTTACGAAGTTAAAATGTAAGACAAAGCTATCGTGTTCGTGTAAGCTTGAGTTCGTGTAAGTTCGTGAGGTTGGATATTAATAAAAGATCAAAAGAATACGGCAATATTCTCAAAAGGTTATTATACATAGTGACATCGGAATGCCCAAAATATATCGACTCGAATAATAGATAAGTTAAGATTTTCAATGTGCACATATTAAACGAAGCGGAAAAAAATGTTGATATTATTACTGACGAAAGTAATTATGAATTCGAAATCACGGCTATATATAGATGCGGCCATCTGACTCGTCGAACATATCTATCTTACGGAATCTCTTCGTTTTTCTTTGCCGTTGCTTCTGGCTGGAACACGCATTTCTATGAATCGATGGTTTTCGAAGAATTTTTGCTGATTATCTGGTTGTCACTTTCGATGCAAGCTGGTTTCACTCGGTCTACGTTAATTACCTCCGTTTTTCCAGCTTTATCTACCGTGATAGTTTTATCATTTCTTCTGATTATTTTAAAGGAAACATCATGGGTCAGGTTTAAGGGAAGTTGCACTTTATCCTTTCTGATAAATATATGGGTACTGTCGCTCAGTTGCTTCCGTGTGTATACACGGTGTTGATTTTTCCTCGGTAGCGTTATTCCTAGGTCACTCTCGTGTTCTTTTAGACGTTGTACGTAGCTGGCTGTATCAGTTGGAGCACTAGTAGCCCAGGTGAAAAACTCCCTTGGTAGACGTAGGGTAGTTCCATAAACCAATTCTGCAGGGCGACATCCTATATCTTGTTTAATTGTCAATCTTAAACTCAACATGACTAATGGAAGCTTGTTTGCCCAATCACAGTTGTTAACAACAGTTGGAAAGGAGGCTTTAAGTTGACGGGGTAGTCTCTACCATGCCATTCGCCATCGGATGGTAGGATGTTGTACGAATACGCCTGATTCCAAGGAGTTCTAAGAGTTGTTGGAAGAGGTGGTATTTGAAATGAGCTCCTCTATCGGTTGTAATATTAGTAGGCAATCCATAATATGAGATCCAATGCTCAACTAAGGTTTCGGCTATTGTCTCTGCTGAAATACCTTTTATGGGCACTGCTACAAGCAGTCTCGTGAATCTGTCGATACAGGTGAAGCCAGTGGTTCCAAAATATCGATATGTGTATGTTCAAATCTGCTGTCAAGGTGAGGGAAAGAACCTATTATGGAACTAGTGTGACGATGGACTTTACTTTTCTGAAATTTTATACATTCTCGCATCCATTTAAGAACATCCCGGTTCATACTTGGCCAAACAAAGCGCTTGCTGATTAGATTGATGGTAGCCCTTATTCCGGGATGTGATATATTATGCATAGCTTCGAAAACTTTTCGTCTGAACGGCTTCGGAATAAACGGTCGTGGTCAGCCTGTAGAGACATCATACGTTATACTTACCTTGTCGGATCGAGTTTCTCGGAATACCAAAGTTGTTTTGGATGCTCTTAGTCTGCTTAGCTCAACATCCATATTTTGCAATGCTGCTAGTTTGTGATAGTCAATTTCAGACTAGATGAGAGTGTTTATCATCGTTCGTGATAATGCATCCACTACTTTGTTATTATGGCCTTTGATATACTGTATGCTAGACGTAAATTGGGAAATAAGTTCCAGTCGTCGAATTTCCTTTGGCGAATAGTTGTGCTTGGCGTTTAATGCTTTCGTGAGGAGTTTATGATCCGTATACACTGCGAAAATGGTACCCTCGGATATGTTTTATTGTCAGATAAATCGATAGCAACTATCTTTCGAACGTACTGTACCTCGTTTGAGTGGGATTTGATCTCTTTGAGAAGAATAGCAGTGGTTCCCATGTGCTATTTACGGACTGCTGAAATATGGCCCCAACAGCGATGTTCGATGAGTCAGTCATGACAGCTAGTGTCGCTTCGCTCTTCTGTCGTACTAACATTGTCTTCTGATTTAGCACTCGCTTAGCGTTCCGGAATGCCTGTATACAGTTTGCTGAGAGATGGAATGTCCGGGCATGTCATTGCAAAGCGTCCGTCAACAGCTGTAATTTTGTTGCGCAGTTTGGGGTGAATCGTCTATAATAGCTTATTAGCCCCGGGAATCGTCGTAGATTTTTGGAATTCGGACAACGGATAATCATGAATGGCTGCAACTTCTGCCGGAATTGGCGTGTTTGTCGAATTTTCGTCTCGCTATTTTTAACCATTTTGGGTTCAGTCTTCGAGATCCTACTTTGCTAGACAGATCTTTCGTTACATTGTGGTGCTGCACTGAATGTTTAAGATCATTGCTGTCGCATGATACCCTTGTCAAATCGGCGTACTCGTTTACAAGTGACCCATATGGATCGCTTTTGTCGTTTGACACCACTAAATTCATAGATACTTGGTCAGTAGTTACTCTTGTTATCACCACTGTACGGTCTCCGTTAGTTGGAAATGTAATAATCAGTCGAAATTCTTTAAGAAACCAATACCGACTATAGGCACCAATACATCTGCTATATCGAACTCCAAGCGAAGTGAAATGTTTCGACCAAAATTCAAGGTTACCTTGCACTTCCCTAATGTTTTAATGTCTGATTTATTTGTTGCTTTAAGTATCAGCGAGGTATTGATATTTGGTCTTTCATTGCTAACAAGGGTTTTTTGCTCCTATGCTCACTAAGTAAGTTGATCTAAGTATTTCGATCGAATCACTGAAAAGTGAGTTTCTTTTTTTGGTCGGGCACATCAATTTATTGGCCCGAGATTTGAATCCAGTCTAAACAAATGACCGAGTATGCGATGAAATAAATATTCCTTTACATTTCCGTATATCATACTTAGGTCAACCCCGTTTGCGCGACGGCGGTAATAAGAAGCCAAATGCGTAATTCAGAAAGATATAGAATGTCCATCGCCACAAGACTACAATCAAGAAACGGAGTGATTACGCTGCTATAGAGAAATAGTCCATTCTTTTTTTTTCCATTTGATCTACTGTCGTTTGAGGATTACAGAGAAGTGGTTTGATAAAAGCCTGATAATAGATGTTGATGAATCAGGTTGGCAAATACATGATTCGGCAAGTACCTAATTACATACTCATATTAGCCAAATATTAAATCTTTATTGGAATTGTTCACATCATATGTATTTTTTGTTTGTTTTAAGAATTCCAAAAACAACTTCAAACCTGACGTTAAATTATAACTAAAACTATACTAGTTTCAGCAATACTTGCTCTACTCAATAAAAATTTAGTCAACTTTAGAGATCACAATCGCGTTTCGTAGACCTGTCGTTAACTTGATGAAGGCCTTAATACAACTTAATAAGACGCTAGTTTGAATTTTCTACGTATATATACTACAGAAATAAGATAGAAAATTATAAGAATTAGTGGAATAAAACGAAGTTATATCGATTTTTTTATACTGATTCATCGAAAAAAGTGATGAAATTTATTTCAGAGAATTGAAGAAAATTTCTTCATTCTTCTTCTGAACTGAACACAGAAACATTCACGTGATATGAGCATCTGGAGTAATTAACGAAATTACAGTCTGTTAAATGACAACGTTCGTATTTTATTCAAATATTTCAATTTGATAAACTTTATTTATATCGATGTCTATAAAGCAAAGTTATTATCAGAATCTTGCCATAAATACTGACTTTGTCACTGTTTATCAGTCTTAATTAATATTATGAATTGTTTAAGAATGGTAGAGTTTATAATTTTAAATCATTCGTTTTAATTATTCAAGTCATAAGATTTATAGCTTAATGCTTTGAAAAAAAATGTTGCTTTTCGTGACAAAAACTTACACAAATTGGTTATAAGCTCTTAATAAGCAAGACAGTTTAACTTATAATCACATAAATACTTATTTCTCATAGACTGTGGTGATAAACACGATTGTTTCAAAAACGTACCTTCCTCTGATTAGATAGTAATCTTACAACTGCGATAATATAGTGAAGAATGAAGTGGATTTTAAGTTTTTGACTGTTTCAAGAAATAAATTTTCATTTTTATTATTTAGTCATAAGTATCAAGCATTATTGTTCATCTTCATCTCTTCAACTGGCTTCCTTAGTTTAGATTCATCTTAAAAACTAGTAAAATTACAAGGTAAGATATGAAGCGTGATTAGGCATTTACTTTTCGACATAAAAGTATTTTTGGCTTATTGATGCTAGCGTTCATCACAGACTGGAAACATTTTGAAGACTAGCAAGCTGTTGACAGTTAAATTGTCTTTTTTTGAAACTTCTCAACAGAATGTACATGTAATCCATACAAGACCTAAGCTAGGATTTTCGTGACCTCAAACTAGTGCGACACTTTAAAACGATGGTATTTGAAGCGACAGAGTATATGGCCAGAGATAATAAACTCCCATAGAGGATAACTATCTAACTCTTCTAAGTGTAATTATCTTTCACCTTAAACTTTAAATAAGTATTATCAAAACTCGTCACTAACACGCACGAGATTATTATTATTTGCATAGAAGAATTAGAAATTTGAACTAATTTAAAGATAAGTGATGATGGGGAAATCATGATAAACAAGGGAGTATCAGTCAACCATTTCGCCCTAGCTTGGTTCTCCCCACTGATCTGTCACCTAAGCGTTTAACTGTGAAACCGATAAATTTAGTGTGATTGGATCCTGTATGAAATAGTGGTTGCTTATTGATGGTTAATCATAAATCTGACATATTACTCCATATATTTTTCAAAGGTTATCTTGAAAATATCAGTCTATAATGGTAACGAATATGAATAAACCTCACGGCTAAACTC